TACTATGAGCTTGATAGTCCATATTGACTTGAATTGCCAAGATTGAGGTTTGGTTGGGTTTGTGGCTGTTTGAGAAGATAGAGGCATTAACCTATTAATACGATGAGTAATGGAGGTGGTAAATGTACATATGTAGGCGAGTCGTTGATGAAACGTTATTTTAGTTTTGATGGGTGCTATGAAGTTGATAGTGCACGTTGATTTGGATTGTCAAGATTGGGGTTTATGATTGTCTGAGGAGATAGAGTCATTAGTCTATTTTTTGGGATAAGTAGATTAGATGGTACATATACATATGCAGGCGAGTCTTTGATGAAAGGTTGTTTCGTTTTTAATGGGTACTGTGCACTCGATAGTCCATATTGAATTGAATTGCCAAGATTAAGGTTTGCTTGGGTTTGTGGTTATTTGAGGAGATAGGGGGATAACACTGTTATTAAGATGAGTAAAGAAGGTGGTAAATGTACATATTTAATCGAATCGTTAATAAAAGATTGTTTTATTTTTAATGGGTACTCTAAGTTTGATAGCCCAGATTGATTTAGATTGTCAAGATTGGGGTTTGGTTAGGTCTGTTGCTGTTTGAGGGGATAGAGGCATTAGCCTATTCTTTAGAATGAGTAGAGAAGGTGGTAAATGTACATATGAAGGCAAGTCGTCGATGAAAGATTGTTTTATTTTTCATAGGTACTGTGAGCTTGATAGTCCACGTTGATTTGGATTGCCAAGATTGGAGGTTTGATTGGGTTTATGGCTGTTTGAGGAGATAGAGGCATTAGTCTACTTTAAGGCTAAGTAAAGAAGGTAATAAATTTAAATATACAGATGAGTCTTCTTTATTTTTGATAGGTACTATTCTGTTGGACAATCCTGACCTTTCTAACCTAACCCAAACCTAATTACAATAGTAATCTCGATAAGTCGAAACCTCTGTAATTCGAAGATTCTAGTTTTTCCATTGAGATCTGAGTCTTCGAAATACAACTGTATCTTAACATGAAACATATAGAACTTAGGCCAATCTCATAATCAACTGTTTTAAACTCTTAAATTACTCTACTAAATCGAACAGGTCTACAGTTGCGATATTAGTCGTAATAATCGATGTTAATAATATTTTTTACTTATTGATAATTAATATTTTTCTTAACACTAGGGATATCAAACCAGTGAAAATAACTGCTTCCAGAGTTCTCGTTTTTGGTATCACCGACGAGATATGACTTATACAGTTGCTTTTCATTAACTTTTCATTAAGTTCCATCGAAGAGATATGAGTTATACAGTTGCTTTTCATTAACTCTCAGTTCTGTTCAGACAGAAACATAATTATATGAACCTATTTATTCCCATCACACCACCGTAATTATTGTCATCTACATACACTATATTTAGATAGCCATTACAGATAAGTAGTTCCACTGTTAATGATCTCTTCCGCTAAGTTTAATTAAAAGATCGAATACACGAAATGCTCTATCTTCGTAAACCAGGTGGTCCAAGTATCTCATACGCGTTTCTGCGATGAAAATTAAAAGAAAATCTGACGCATTTACGAGTTGTGGTTACAAATGGATCGACAGATTGCCAGATACTTTTTCAAATTAGCCTTATCGTATGTGTCGAATATTGCTGTTGCTAATTGAAGATTCTATAATTTGCATCCTCCTGGCTCAAACCACTGTTCCCGATGTGGGTTTGTTGACATTTATGGTCTATAAAGTGCCATGGACTGTAAAAAAGTCGTGATTATAATATTGACCTCTTTCGATATGGAAAATGAGTTTTCTTGCTCTGTATTTGTCAGTCTGATAAAAAGACCATCAAGTGTGATCAAGTCATTAGCTTCTAGTTTCATTTACCTATCGACTGTCATATTCATTTATGTCGAGCAACTTCTTCGTCATTTTTTATTCGTTCTTTATAGTTATAACTGTAATTTTAATTTGCTGTATAATTAGTTCGAATTACTGTTGAACGAGTTTAGCTGTGAAGGAATAGTACCTCATGACCATTTAAGTCAGGCCAGGTTAGTTGAGAAATTAAATTTCTAGATATAATTTATTCACTATAAATATTGAAGTATTTGTTATCGATATATGGAGATATAAATAATTTAATAGATAAAATTGTAAAATATTTTAATAGTAGAATGTCTTTAAGAGATTTTGGTAAAAATTAAAACGATGACTGACTAGCTGGGCCTATTATGTATTCTACATAAGATTATTTCATTTATTTCAAGGAGAAAGAAAAACACAATATATATTGCATGAAATTTCTGAAATTTATAATTGAAAGATTAGGTAAAAAAGATAATAAGTGTTAGAATTTTTGTAGATGAAATAAATGTCTAATACTGTAGACTCCATCGGTAGAGAAACAAGTTCCAATAAATTGAACTATGTCATTCATAATTTGGACATTTAAATATCAAAAGATTTTTATTTGATAAGAAGAAAAGAATAAAAGTATAATTATTCTTGCAACAAGGAAACCACTATCATAGTAGTATCATAGATCATAGTTTCTGAAATTTATAATTGAAAGATTAGGTAAAAAAGATAGTAAATGTTAGAATTTTTATAGACGAAATAAATGTCTAATACTGTAGACTCCATCGGTAAATAAACAAGTTCCAATAAATTGAACTATATCGTTCATAATCTGAACATTTAAATATCAAAAGATTTTCATTTGATAACAAAAAAAGGAAAAAAAGATAAAGAATAAAAGTATAATTATTCTTGCAACAAGGAAACCACTATATTGCAGATCATAGTTTAATTTCAGATCACTGTTAATTCTTAATTCTTTCACGAGTAAGCACTTCGCCAGACGATTTTCCATTTAACTCACTAGCGCCACCACGGTCCATATCTACAATAAACGTTCATAAGTATCACATATACCGTATTATTTTACTCATTTTCGAATTTTATCTCGATATAATCTTCGAATTATCTTCTTACTATGTCATACATTGACACAAATTTCTTGCCATGCCATTTCATGCACATCCAGACTCGCGATGGGATTAAATCTCTCAATTACTGAAATATCGAAAAATACACATTTGAAATCCTAATAAACCCTGTACCAAGCATCCAAAACTCGCTGATGAATAAAACTTATCATTTCTTTAGAATTCCCATATGCTACGTCAGTAAACACAGAAGTTAGTTTCTCCAGCCACCAGTGCTACCTCCGAGCAGGAATAGCCACTGACGAAAACAGAAGCTCTTAATACCAAAAAGAATGTACGCATTCAGAAGCATAAATCCGCGTTGAAATTCGTTTAGTGAAAGACACGTAGAATTTCCAAGCCATTCATTCCTTCAGCTTTTTCGAGCAGAGCCTTTTCAGCGTCTCGCGCGTAAAAAAGATTTCACGATCTATCCGACCGTACCATCGGTGAATTCAAGCGTAGTAAATACTTTGCGCATAACGGTGCACAGCGCGATGTGTAATAACGCTGAATCTCAGCCGCGCAAAATGTATATTTTGCTTTGAAAATGATCGCGCGAAATTGCAGTGCGGTAGGCTGCATTTGCAAATCGCAAATGCCAGGCAAAGTGCAACCCACGGTGCGCCGGCAGCGGATTTGCATTGTCCTCGCGGATTAGTAATGAGAATGGGGAAGGAAGGAAAAGAGGGCCGAAATTTAAGGTCGTGTCTATGATCATTGAACAGGTTCGTGATTGGATAACTCGAAGATTGATTTCCGAGTGAATTTTAATCTGGTCTTGTGAGAAAGGAATGTTTGGGAGTTGATGAATGCATTTTGCGCGACCCGTTCCGTTTAGGTCAGTTTTTCAAGGTTTCTTGGTTAGGCTTTAAAGAGAGTTTTAATCCGAGTATATATTGGTTAATATATTTCTCTGAGATTAGGTTATATTTATCGAATGAATATTATATATCATTATAACAATATTAAGTCATAATTATTATATTATAATACAGTATAATGTAATTTAATTAATTTATTATGTAATACAACATTACATAATATTATATGAATATTATATGAACATTTTATAATTTTTTTAGTATTATATTGTACAGTATTGTGTCAAAATTATATTAATTATTATTATATTAATATTGTAATGTTACATAATATTACATAAAAGTTACGGTATAGTAATACATAAGAATCTTACAGTTAGTTGAAATACCTGATAATTTTCAATTTTTCTAGAAAATCTAATTATACAATATTATAATACAATATGAAAGGAAAAATTTAATTCTGTCAAAGTTGTCTGAAATACACATTTTCATTTTTACTACGAACTTCTACAGGAATAATCCAAATTTTATTCTATTCCATGTACATAATATTGTAAACCTTTATCTCTGAGACCTTTCTTAAATTTTTCAAACGCTTTTCCTCCATTTCGAAGAACCCTAGAACTTTACCCTAGAATTCTCCTAGAAGTTCTTCATTTAATTAATCCATCAATAGACAAAGCTTCATAGTCAAATAATTTGCGTGTTATACATGTACATTCGCTATATTATATATTATACACTATATACTATATACTGTATACTATACACTATATACTATACACTGTATACTGTACACTATATACTATACACTATATATTATACACTGTATACTATACTATACACTATATACTACACTATACACTATATACTCTACTATACACTATATACTACACTATACACTATATACTCTACTATACACTATATACTATATTATACACTATGTATTATGCACTATACACTACACATTATATACTATACTATACACTATATACTACACTATATACTATACTATACACTATGTACTGTACATTATATACTATACACTATATACTATACTATACACTCACAATCAGTTAGGACTCAATGAATCAAGCTTTAAGTAAATTCGGGATTTACAAGTGCAACATTGTCGTAGACGAATCTTCGTTACCTGAAGTGACAAATGCGACAGTTTTCACAGCGACATTGATATTTCGTTGGAACAGGAAGGCTTCACGGATCCGCCGAGTGTCAGCTCCATCAGCAGGTTGCTTCGCGGTGGACGACCTGGTGACGATGGGAAAAAGGACTACACCATCGATGGGATATTAGGCGGTGGTGAGTAGACTATCACAATTTTACGCATCGCTATTAATCATCGAAAAATACTTATTCAATTACCAATAAAGAGGATCCAATGACACCGTTAAATCCTAACAGTGAGAAAAAGTACCAAGTCTGTTATTTGCTCCTGCGTTAACTAACGATAAGACACACACGATGATATGCTATGGGTACATTACAATTAAATGTCGAGTTCACGAGGATTTGAATTATTTGCGAATGAATTTATTCCACTAGGTTAAACCATTCTAAATGCCACATTCCACGTTTTTGAAATAAATATCTCGAATCCTGTGTTCATTTTAGAATATTTATTCGGGAAATACAATAGTTTCTCAGCTGCTTTCGCGGAATAGGAATCAGACCAACCAAAGTTGTTGAAAATACCGCGTTAGGAGAGGACTGAGTGTATCGATATTTTCATATATGACGCCATGCTAGTACTTCTGTGTTTCGATTTGTGTATGAGTTATGCTTATATTTATCGGTGTAATACCAGTATTTTGCGTCTTGGTAGGAGTTCCTGCTCTAAACTCGAAGCTTTCATGACGCTAGAATTACCCATCTATAACGTGTATCTAGATATATTTTATGTAGTTAATAACAAAACAAAATGGCACGATGAAAATAAACATTGAACACGAAGAATGTCTGATAACTAGCAGTACAAGCGAGTAGGAGGTGATTCTACATCTAAAAACAAGTCGGAAAGGAAGAATAACATTTTTCCATTTGAAGCTTCGTCTTCGAGAAAATCGTGTTTGAAAATTCATGGGGTGCACGCATGTATGCAGATTTAATCAAATTTCAATTCTATGAATTTTGGTGTATATTTTTCTTTGAATACCTTGAAGGACAGTAATTTTCGGTGTTATTTTGTCATTCGATGTTTTGAATATGGATATAAGAATATTAGAAACGTTTACAAATATGAATGAAAATGGATTATAGTAAAATTCATGGCGAAGGCGCTCTGTGAATTTTCAACTCGATTTTCTCGAAAACGATGGCTTAAATGAAAATATTTTATTCTTCATTTTCGACTTGATTTTATGTTAAGTTGCTCACTATAAGTTTCACAACCAATTATCGAACATCATTTACAATTATAAGTTATATTTATATGAATAGATGACAATAGTAATTTCTCCAAAAGCAACTATACGTTTTACAGTAATCAGGAAGCAAAAATGTTCCATAATCCTCTATAACTAAAAGGAGTCGAAATGATTTCTAAATGTAATACTGGAACCTGGATTTTAATATACAATACGGGCTCTAGCAACAAGGCTACGTTGGAAAAATACAAGTCGGCGGAGAGAAAGAAACTAAAACTGAAACTGACCTTTCGCAAATTTTGTGGATGCTTATATAACGTTAGTTTTTGGTGGGGTGAAGATGACCATTGACCCTTAGTGGAAATAGGAATGAGTCAATTGTTTTTGGATTGTGAAATTGGTCTGCGTTTATCAGCCAGGTCCTTCTAGTGACTAAGATCCAACGAATCATTAGTCATCCAACATTTGATATATTAATATCGATCTTCCAAATTTTATAAAATGGTGACTGAAAGTAACCTCTCGAGTGCAAAGGATTAATAATTAATAATTTACTCTAGTTAATTATTTATTATAAAATATTTCAATATTACTAACGAAAAATATTAAAATATCTTAATATTTAATATTTTGTTATAATATGTTGGTACGTGGCGAAATATAAGCACTCTTGAAATTGGACGAACAGACTTTTTATTTTACAAACGTACAGATCAGATGTGAAACAAAGACAGCAACGACGACGACGACGA